TTGCAATAAGTGCAAGTTATGCAATGGATGACATTGGAAGATTATATTAAGCTTAGGGATTGATTAAGCTAGGAGATTGACAAAAGGGTGTCTTTCCAAATATAAACTCGGGTTGGAGTCAATTTTTAGATTCAGGGTAAAATTACGTAATATGTACCTACCATCTCGTGTTGCTCGAATGTTCTACGGGACAAAATTATCGACTGTGGACTTTTCGGCTATCTTTTTAGACTTGATATGGAGACACTCGTTCGTTTTACCTTGACTGTGAGGAAGGGTTATCGTGGTGTGGCATACCACAACTGGGGGCATGCGTTTGCTGTGGCTCACAGCATGTGTGTCCTCATGAAAATGGCCTCCGAGATGTTTACTTGGGAAGAGGTATTTGTTTATTTATCTATTTTATTTTGTAATTATGCGTTTTGTGAAGGTTTACACTGAAGTTAGTCTTTTTGTAAGGTCTGATCAAAGTTTTTTGTTCTTTTCCTTCGTTCACGAGACATTTACTCTGTATGCAGACCCGCATATAGGATAACGATAACCAAAATGAATAACAAACTGAATGGAACATTCATCTCATTTTATTGCAGAAAATTGCGTTGTATCTTGCGAGTATCATACACGACATCGATCATCGTGGTTACAACAATGCTTTCATGATCAAGAACAAATCCCCGCTGAGTCATCTGTACTCAACTTCAACCATGGAATGGCATCATTTTAAACAAGGAGTTTTTATCTTGGAGGTGAGTGCAATATCAGTTTCCTCTAATATTAAGTAGGCAAAGAGTTGTTATCCCTTCGGAGCAAACAGCTCGCGCTGATATTGGTTTTACGTAGTAGGAATAGAATGTAGGGTACATTTTTATAGATATGGGGCTTCGCTGCGCGCGCTTCGAGCTCTGCTTTCATCATCTTACTCTAAATATGCTTCATTCAAAGATTCATTGTCATTCTGGTTGGCGCCATTGACTCTATTCGAAAGGTCAGGGTTTGAGCCTTTGTCAGAGTTTACGCCGGAGTCCGTGGGTTCTTCGTCAAGAAACTTAAATCGCAAATTATCTTTCCATACCTGGGCCAGGTTATTTAAGCACGATTAAGCTAACCTAGGGTTAGCCAACAATCCTTTATTCAATTTTTTTGTCGCTTTACAGACAGTCTTAATCGGATACATTTTTCCTTTCGTTTTTATGCGACGCTAAGGTAAAACCCCGTTTAAACGTAAGCCCTAATACACACTATATTTTAAGAGAAACCAAAGACAAGTTGAAATTTTAATCCTGAATTATCGCTTACTGCCTTTTGAACAACCGAGCCCAGGAATATTAATGGGAACCAAGAGGCTGTCAAGTAACACCAAACAAACTCTTAGGACACGTTGCGACAGACCATGATATAACCAATCCTTCACGCTGCAGAAATCGAGCCTCGATATCGCTGCGAGTGAATTGCAACCGCATGCGTACTTTAGCTATTTTGATGACCGCATACTAATTCAGTACAACTTTCCAGACAGCGTTTTGTTACCCAGTCTACTTGATAATGTATTGCACCATCATAAAAATTAGCTCCTCACTGGCCATGGTCCAGCTAGAATCTTAAGACCCCTGGGCCCAGTTGTATAAAGAACGGATAACGCTATTCAACGGATAAATCGCTATCCGGCGGATAAGTGATGGCTTAACGTATAGCGTTATCCACCGGATAGAGTTTTATCCAGTGGATAGCGCTATCCGTTCTTTATACAACTGGGCCCAGGAGTCTTAAGATTTTAGCTGGATCATGGCCAGTGAGGAGCTAATCGAGGAGCCAGTCTTCGAACAAACGGGGCCAGAGTTGTTTATTTTTCATTGCGTTGCAATTTTATTGCGCAGTGTCACTTTTGAATCGTACAAATCTTAATTCTATCGACAGACGGCTGGTCATAATATTTTAAATGCACTCTCCGCGAAGCAGTACAAGTATATGTTGGAACTTATGGAGGACGCGATCTTGGCGACGGACCTAATGCTGTTTTTCGATAACAGAGCAAAACTCCACGACATTGTCACGAATGGAAAATTCTCTTGGAGTATACCAGATCACAAGTACTGTTGCTATTTATGGAAAAATTATTGATTTGTTTGTAGTGTCTTTTTAGGGCATTATGTCCCACAATTCATGTAAGCTTACATTGATTGTTGTTGCAGGCGGCTTGTTCGTAGGCTGTTGATGACCGCGTGTGACTTGTCTGCCGCTGCCAAGCCATGGTACATTCACATCAATTCAGTCAAGAGGGTGTTTGAAGAATTCTATCAACAAGTGAGTTTCTTTGCAAAACAGGTCTGTTTATAATTCAGATCCTGCGACTGCTTGCCTGCGGTTTAGGATTCTATAGAATTACTGCCTAGATCTTGAGAGTCAAATTATTAAATGTATTTTTCGACAGGGAGATGAAGAAAAGCTTATGGGACTGACTCCTGTACCAATGATGGATCGAGCAAGAAAGAGCGAACTTCCTGAAAATCAGGTAAGTTTGTGTGGACTATAAAAGCTGTATTCATTCATTACAGCAGGACAACTAAAATTCTTTTTTGCTTCAGATATTGCGGTAGATTTTCTTAAATCCATCGAACAGAGTGAATAAAAATTGGATTAATTATTTCTATAAATGAAATAATTCGCGTCACGTGGAAGCTATTCCCACTTTTACCTAACGCAGGGTGAAACAGGGGCCTAGCTTGGCTTAGTCGGGGTGTTAAATTATCCACCTCCCGATCATTACGATGTTGAGAGGGTGTTGAATCTGAAGGTAACGACATGCGTCTTCGGAGAAGCACGTTCTCCTGAAACTCTCTCCTAAGAAAAACTAGGATTGAATGACCACTTATATTCACATTCCGAGGACTAAGGAGGCTAAAATGTAGTTCACTCTAAATTTCTTCTTAATAATTTATGTTTTTTGATCGAACAGGTCTCGTTTCTCAAGGGCATCGTTAAACCCTGTTATTCAACACTTATTAGTGTCCTTCCTATGATGGAACCAATAATGGCCTCCATTGAGTAAGTTGGAAAAATTGGCACTGGTGTAGTACCCACGTCTACCTGAGACCATTAATTTGCTGACAGATCTGTGCGTTTGTCTATTTTTCTATTTGTCGGTGCACCTCATGATCAGTTCATCAGTTCGTCTGCTCGTCAGCTCGTCTGTTCGTCTGTTCGTCTGTTCGTCAGTTCGTCTATTCGTTTGTTCGTCAGTTCATCTGTTCGTTTGACAATTATATCTAAGAAAGTGTGAGTTTTGTGCTTTCTTTGAAACACTGTTTTCTTTTCCAGTTTAAATTTGACCTCATGGGAAAATCGTCTAAGACAAAAACAGATGCACCCGCCTGGTTCCGGTGGACGTCAACTTCCTGATGGAACAGAAGCGAGGGAGTCTGTGTCTTTCTTTGATTACTAATCATAAATCCTTTCAAAAGTGTTTGTTAATTAAATTCCAAAAATAATATCAGTGAAAAGATTTAATACTTTTCTTGGTTCTGGTTTTTTTTTCTTTTAATCTTTTCATTTCTTTAAATTTTAACTTATGTTCAATCATCGACGGAGGTATTTCGTAAATATTTGAGTTGATCAGCAATCTCTCAACAATTATGCATTTTACTGATAACGTCAGCTTTTCATGACATCTTATGTTGTTTTTATATATGTGCACAGTACAAGTTATCCCAAGTTGATTTAGCCCCATTTCAAATAAACTGACTTTTCTCTTTTGATTTCCTTCCAAAAAAACTACTCCAAGGTATTACTTTTGCTATCCGCAATGTTATTTGATGATGAGCCCCAAAACCAGATGAAAATTTCAAAGAGGTTAAAATGATCAGAATAAATTTTTATGCGTAAGACAATTTTCGACTGGTCTGAACTGAAGTTACGCAAAGTTTTGTGATATTAAGCTTGACGATGTCAAGTTGTCTTGATGGAAATCTACAAGTCGATTCAGCAAGCAATTTTTAACAATTGATTTGACGGAAATTGTACAACTGACATGACACGAATGAAATGTCCTTTTTTTACCAACTATTGTAAATAAACTTAGTTTTGTTGTGCCAAACGGAGAAATAAAACAAAATTTTGAAACAGCAGTTGTTTTGAGAAAAGAGTATACAACAACGGTCCCTCAAAATGCTATATTTTGCTGTGCCTGTTTAACAAAAAGTTCAGACACGCAGCTGAAAATCTACATATACTAAAAATGAATTTTGTATTTAACTTTTCGGACCGGAATATGCTGAATACTGTTCTTATCAGGTTTATACGTGCTCCTAAGGACTCAAAATTGATGTATATTCGTGTAAAGCTTATTAGCTACATTACGCAACTCAGTAAACCAGAACATAAAAATAACATACGAAGAGCTTTATTCATAACCCTTTATATTTCATAAAGAATAAGAAAAAGCACACACATACCCAGGGACAAAATTAAAAGTGCCGCAAGAAAGTACGCTTACGTCCCCTTCCTTTCGGTCCTCCTTTCGGTCCTTCTTTCGGCTCCCCTTTTGGCCCCCCTTTTGGCCCCCTTTTTGGCCCCGATTTTGGCCCCCTTTTTGGCCCCGATTTTGGCGCTTTTTGGCCCCTTAATTTTAGGCTCCTTTTCAGGCCCCTTTTCAGGCTCCTTAGAAGTATTCTCAAGGCCATTTTTTTCGATAACGTGACTGACTACCAAGGTTCCTCTCACGATGCTGACCATGTAATTGCCCACAGCTCTGCGGGCTTGAGCCACGAGTCCATTTTGCATGAGGGACGCAACATCCTTGATCAGTGCTAAAATAAGAAAGATAAGGAAAAGTTACTTTCACTCGAGCCCTAATAACAAATTCAATAGTCACCTTTGGGGTTTTTCCCTCTTAGCACCACGACAATTTTTATTAAAAGAAACCACAATTTTTTTGCAACATACGGGAGCACAGTCCACACAAATCTAAATAGCCACTAGAGTTACTAGGCCCCATGACTTCCTGAAATAGCCAAAATTTATATGCGATAGATCACTTCAATCAGAATTGTAGTAAAAAATACTCAGGTTTGAAATATTACTGCAATGCGATCATAAGCATCCTCTGAGAGACCTAAGTCAAGGTTGATGCATCTTCAAAAGTTTCGGTTAGCAGAAACTCTTTCACGTTTTTCATTTGCAATCTGTTTTAATCGATCTTTCCGATCCTTATTCATTATTGGTTTATTGGAGCGATGTTTAACTGATGGTAGAAAGGGATCCGGGATTTTTTTGTATTTACTTCGCCCTTTCATTGGTCTAACAAAACTCGTGCCACTCCTCTAACCAATCAGATGCATAGATAAAAACCATTAACGACTTGATCGCACGTGCTTTCCCGCGCTTCAGACAGTTTAGTCGGACTTACTTGAGTTCTCATTGGCTCTTAATGGTATTTTCCTTCATTCTGATTGGTCACTGTGATTGCTTTGGTTTTGATTTTATGTCACTCAATCCAAAAGCGCTTTAATTTATGCTTTGCGATTTTGTTTAATAACCAAATCGAGATATGTTCATTTGTCTCTTTCAAGTTGAAAGAAACCTTGTTAGCAAAAATTGGTTAACGATTTTTCATCTAGCTCTTTTGATTATCTTGTAATCATAATCAAATTTACCTTCTTGTGCTTCTTTCAGGGCGCTGAGATTTTCTGCCCAGCTGTGTTGAAGGGTGATAGACTGAAAAGAATAAAAAATGTTTCATTTGTGGCATGCAGCGACGTAGTAGTAGGTTTTGAAGCACAGAAGTGGTTGTTGGGAACCAGTCATTATTTATCCCCGGGTGGGGAGGGGGGGAAGGGTTGGGGGGGATGGAGGACTCTTTCGGTGACCACATGGTTTTCAAGGGTAATGGAGGGAGGATCAATCATGACCAGAAGAGTATTAAGGGGGGACCAGAAATATTACAGAGAGGGATCAGGTAAAATTTATCGTGGCACAACCCTTAAACCCCCCTCCCCCACTCCCAACAGAAACCCAAAGGATAAATACTGACCGGTCCTCTACTCATTTCAAAAAGAAACTGCTTCCTTTGCCTCTACCACAGGCAGACCACACTAAATATGTAAATACCTAAACACCCGTTTATTAGTGTCTTTTGTTTTTGCCCTTTGGGATTTTTGTATGTTAGTTCGTCGTGCGTGCGGAATGTATTCTAGCGTGTTAGTTGAGTAATTTATTGTAATATATTCGTTAGTATCTAAAGGTCGTGTAAGCCTTTTCGGGTCAGGTTTTTCGCTTGCTATTTCCAAGTGGTCATTTTTCGCCCTACGGCATCCAGTGCAGTTTTTTCCCAGCTCCTAACAAATGTAAGTGTCGCTTTGGTCCATCTTTCCGTTGCGTTTAGTTCACTTTGTAACGTCCTTTTCTTTGCTTGTATTTTAGTTTTAACCGCTTTGAACGAACTGCAACTACAACATCGTTTCTTAAATAAAGCGCGTTAACACAATGCTGGAGTGTTTGGAGTGTTTAGTCCATTGTTGGAAGTTATAAAATGTTCGTGGTTATTAATTGTTGACATGAGACGAACAAAATCTGTGAGGGTTATCCATGAATAAAACTCTGAAGTTTGCATATCTAAATTACTTCTCGGTCTGAATATCTCAATAAAGCACCTTTTTTATCCCAATAATTCGTTTATTATAAAATCATGAATAGGGATATTGGTAAATACTTCCCAAATTCACATCTGTAATTATTGCCCCTACTAAATGGATACAATGACAATAAGACTACTTACTCCTTTAATCACGTCCACAGCCTTCTTGTAGATTTTCACTGAAACAAATGAAATTCAGAAATTATTCTTTTATGATCATATCAGTATAACGGTGGCGCACATCACATGTAGACATCCCTCTGATCGAAGTACGTGTACAAATTCAAAACTCTCCTTGCCAGGAAGAATTAACTTTTTCACTCCCAAGATTTTATAAGTAATTTTCCTCACAGTCTGTGATACAATTCTTACGATGTTAGTTAGCATTGTATCAGCTAATAATCCCTAAATGGATATTTATCTCTATTCTCATCACTTGTTTGCTTGAAATTGTGTTGATATTGTGAGAAGAAATTATGTTTTGGTCACCAATGAGGTCGTATGGTTTGGATGGAAATACACACCTTCGATGCAGTTCCCTGCATGGGGATTCTCAAACACTATATCAATGATTCTTTTTCCGACGTCACCAGCTTCAGATGGTGCAGACTCCTGTATAGCACGTTTGGTAAGAAGATCTTTCCATGGAACTGAAAACGTTGAAAATACGATAAGTCAGCTGAAAAGAGAGATCTTAGTGCTATCGACCTGATACGGATTAGGTTTACAGAACTGTGATAGGGAAGGAAAAGTGCATGAAATGCTTGTATTTTACAAATTTTCAAGACTCGAACACCGCTGATATTCCTTTATCTTGCCCGAAGGTTCTATATGTTTCAAATATGTTCCCTGTAAAGGTTAGATTATCCAAAGGTTGTTCCAATCAGGATGCTATATTGGAAGGTTGCTTGATGAACACGGTCCAGGTGTGTAGGCGTTTTTTGGTTTATAAAGAAGGGACACATCCACAATCAGCGTCAGATTTACTTGACACATCAAGTTTTAGGAGTCTTATTTACGTGTAGAATAACACGCATGTCTTTACCACACTCTAATTCATTGGCAAGACACCTTTCCACATTTCATTGTATGTAGCTAAAAGATCATGAATCACCATATAAAATTTATTTAGCGAGAAGGGGGGCGAGTAGGTTGACTTAACAAGAACAAAAGAGACAAAATGGAGGTAATATGGGGCTGAAATAGTCGAAGTCATCAATTTCGTCGCCGATTGTAGATCTTTTAAGAGTAGAATTCTGTTCCTGATGAAAAGAGCTGGATGGTGTTCACTTCTACACACCAACTTGCTGGCAGATGTAGTCTTAAAATGCTCAAGCAAACGGTTGTAGAACGAAAGCAATAGATAGACATAATTATTCACGTTATGTAATAGAAGAGGTGCTTGTAAGAGGAGTATCAGAGGCGCTTATCATTCAAAGATTTTCGGAAGGTCGATTCATTTAATGATGTGGTGAAAAATTAATTGCAGATAGGAGTATCTGGCTCCTGATAAATTACTTGACGTACTTCTTTCACAAAGAGCAACAAGGGTTGCATCAGTATACGGCTCTATTCTGTTTGAAAGATCAAACGTTCCATTTGGATCCTGTTTCTCGATAATCTCGCCAATCTTTTCAATCAGACCTGAACGAAATTTTGAATAAAAATAGATAAATAACAAGAAATACAGTTTTAATAAATTTAGTAGTCAAAACTTTACGTATTTTATCTCATAATGATAAGGTGCCTTCCACGGCAGAGTAATTTTACACTCCTTGAAATTACACAATGATTTAGAAAAATCCCATAGATTGCACAACATATCATTATAAGGTGTTAGCCACCCAAAGTCAATGAAAGCAGCTTATTATAACTACCTGATGGCGTTAAAATTTTACATCTCCTCAGGGATGCCATTTTATTTCTTGAAGAGTACAAACTAATAAGCTTACGTACTATTCTGATCAAATAATCAACTGATGAAAATAGGTATCCTCATTGATCACATAAATGGCCAGTTTTTCTTTTTTATGAAATTCTGATTAGGGTTGAAGTGAGTGCAAAGGAAAAGTCTGGAACTGGAAGAGTATCTCCTAGTTATTTATTAATATTGAAGACTAAAAGCTACACAGCTATTGCAGATTGTAATACTTACCATCCACGTTCTTGTCACATGCTGAATCAACCAGCAATCGTCCCATTTTGCCCTTTACTCCAAAGTGATTGAAGTGGGCAAGTGCCCCATGAGCGTCTTAAATAAACGTAATGACATATACAAATCAATCAAGGCACAATCAATGTTACGGTTGACCAGCTGAGAATAACGAAGAGCAAAAATTGACAGTACTGCTCTAGTTATTGTTTGAGATAGTCTCATTTGCTACTACGCAGAAGTGACTTTTTGTTTTTCTGCAAGTTTACATAGATTCCCTTAACAAAGCTCTCGGTTAAGCCACCCGAATTTAAAAAAAAAAAGCCTTGAATTTCAAGAGTTTGAAAGCATTTACGTTTCAGTTGGATTTCTTACCGAGGTCAGCTTCTTCGAGAGCCTCACCAGTTTCTTCCTCAAAGTCTAACTCGTCAACTTTTAATTTTTGGAGTAATGCTGTGAAAAATAAAACACAACGTTTAAATCTTTACCCAGACTCAAGGTCCATCTATTCCAGTCCTTACCCTCCCCTCCCCCCCTTTCCTGTGAAACGACGTAACACCCTGTATCGACCATTATGATCTGCTCTTGATACGAGGTTCGTAATCAAGATAAAGAGTCTAAATAATTAACATACAAAGATTAAAGTACAATTTTAACTAAGGAAAATGAAACTTTCTATCAAATAAAGAACTACAAATTAAATTAAAAATTGGGAAGAGGTGATAACGTAATTATGAACCCCTCAAATTTAAAGCAATTGAGCTTCGCAAATGATCCTAAATTCCGGTTAGCTTTAATTTTAATTTACTTTGCTCAATGATTGCTCCAGAAAATTTGTACCACCATTTTATCTGATCAGATTCAAATTAAAACCAATCGCGACTCTGTTACTCGCGTTTTCCCGCGCTTTAAGTGGTTTATTTGTTTTCATTGGCTCCTTGTGATATTTTGCTCTGTTCTGATTGGCTATTGCTTTTACTTTGGTTTTGGGTTTTGCGACACTCAATTGCTGCTCTATCCACGGAATTGAGATTGCCTGTAATTAATCTCGTATTACGAATAACTTATGAATATCAACCTTTAGAACGCAGAAACGAGACGAACTCCTCTTTGATTTTTTCACATTTTTCGTGGTCGTCAACAACATGGCGTCCCAGTAATGTCTTTACCGCTTCATTTGAGGGTTCGAATTGTAGAGCATGTATCATTTCCTGAGCTTTTTCTGAAATTTAAAACGAAACAAACTGTCATTTTTAAACCTTTGTTTACACACTAACTGACACTTTTACTAAGTCCTATCGATGGGGAGGCGTATCCTGTATGCTGCAGGATACCCATAAAGTTCAATGGCGAATTTTAATTTTTGTTTTGTTCTAAGTTGCTGTTGTTTATTCTTTTCTCTTTTGCTTGTTTTTTTGTTTGATAAGATGTCGTATACATTTTTAATAAGCTCTAATATTTTTAATTGGTTTGTGCCTTGGGAAATGCTAGACCAGATTTATGTGTCAGTGTCGACAATAATTTAGCGTTAAGGTCTAATATGTGAATGAACTGTCTGCATGAACTTCCAATTTAATTCTCCCGGATTTAAATCTGACAAAAACTTCAAGCGAGGGTTTCCTCTTCGTTCCCTCGTAGGTCCAAGAGTTAATAATGATCTTGTAATATCTTATCTCTACTCCTAAGAGACAAACATGGAAAAAAAAGGTCGTTGGTCAATGGGCGATGAAATATCGTCTTCGAACTCGACAGGAAAAAACCGGTAAAGCTTGAAACTTGGAGACAACTTAAAGATACGCGACAAAAGTTATTTTATCAAAATGAGAACAAAATGAAAGTAGAAGAGTATGCATGATTACGTTTATTCCTACTGTCTTTAGCTTCTTTTAGCGTCTCCAAAGCCGGTACGATCTCATTCAACTAGGAAAATATATTTCTGTTAGAGTTATCATAGATAATGCAACTAGACTCGAGCAGATCAGGCTCAATTATATACATGCATAATAATCTCGAAAAGCATAGGGAATCATTGGATTCTTTCATTCAGAGGATAATATTTATAAAATATTCTAAAACAGAGCATAGCGTTGAAGGTGCGCTCTTTTTGGGTACCCAACTCCGAATAGTCTTTGCTATTCACCTTCGAGAAATTCACTCAGGATTTGCGCCCAAAAACATGAAGTCGTTGCTGAAATAAATGAGTTAAAGATCATCTTTTTGTGCCGTATTATCTCCCTTTTTTAGTATATAATAAAACAACTATTCACCTCAGTGTCGGTGTCTCGCGGTGGATATTAACCTCACCGTTTCGCTGCCTGATAAATATCCACTAATAGCCGCCTCCACTTCAGTGAATAGTTGTTAAGAATCAAAATGATCTTTTCAGGTATAAGAACTTTGCTTTGATCAAGGCCGACAAAAGTAGAGCACTCTTTCAAAAGAGCAAATGAACTCAAAGTTATCAAAACAATTTTCTAAAATGAAAATAATGATAATAAAAAAGATAAGTCAAAGGTCATCAATAAAACACTTACCGAATCAGCCAATTCTGCCACCGCCTCCTCCACGGACATCACCCCCTCATCCTGTTCATGTTCATGATGATCATTCATCTGATCACCTGTTTTCAAGAGATGAGCAAAGCGAGCTGTGGTCTCAGTCATCAAGGGATGTCTGAGTTTATTGACATCCACCGGTCCATCTGCGAAAAACAGTGATTGACATTTTTTTTAATTGTGTATTTGAACAATCAAATTAAAGCCATGGAAACTAACACAAGCAACCAATGAGTCATTGAGAATTAATATATATAGCCCGCTCGAGAAAAAGACTGGGTCTGAGACTGATTAGCTGAGATGGTGGTACGATAACTGTGGACCAGTAACATAGCATGGCAAAGCGAAGCTAGTCAGCTAATCCTTTATTCATTTCCACACTTGAACGCAACGGAAAGATTATCAGTGTGGAAAGTGTTGATTCAGTTCCTTTATTTTCTGAGGTACAGCATATGATCTGCACATAAAGAAAAACCCAAGTAGAATATAGACTGTTGACATTAACAGTCTAAAGCACATTGTAATTGAAGAACTAAATCTGCTTAAGGAATCCTTCTGCGATGTGCAACATTGAAAGCATATCGTGAATAATTATGAAACAACTTAGTTGAAAAGCGAAGTGGTTTAATGAACACGTTAAGCTCTAAAATCTGGAACAAGGATGCTGTAAACTTAAAGTTTTCGAAGCTGTTTTGTAGCGCAGCTAATTATGAGTCAATTGGGAGTGCCTTCATTTTGCTTTTACCTCTTATACGATCCCGGATTTGATCACTGCAAAGAGTGGTGCAAATTAATACAAAGTACATTTACGAATCTGGGTTGCGAGTGTTTACTAGTATGTGGTTTGCATTGAGACAAATTCAGGTTATTCCTGCTACCAAACTAAGCAAAGAACGAGAAGAGATCAAGAATATGAAAAAGGAAAATACTTTTTTTTGTTATTCGAGTTTTATTGTCATATTGCCATGACAACACTTGGCAATCTTTCGCGAATGCGGAAAAATGCAAAATTCAACGTGACTAGCATATCACGAGACAGAATTTAATTACAGTCCATTCAATTCGTTTTAGCTTTGCATGACCAACTTTTTAATTAAAAATTTTCATTTTGATGGTTAGTTGGTGGCTTATAGTCCTCTTAGGATTGCGGAAAAAAACTATGCTAATTGACGAGTAAGTGTGTGGATGTTTTGAGCAATGCATATGGAATAACTATATCACCAAAAAATATATATATGTTTCTTATCATTTGCAGCTGCTCATTGTGCATTTTGTTTTGGAAAGGAGAACTGATTTATAACATGTACGATTTGTCAATAGATTGCACACAATGCTGGCAAAGAGGAATTTCTCTTTAGCCGTATTCTAGAATATACAAACTGTTTTTTATGTGTGTTTAATTTCATCTCTTGGCCAGAACTCAGAACTCACGGCTGAGTGATTCCTCGTGATTTAAAAGCTTTAGAACATCTAATACCATGTCGGGATTTTTACGGGTTCAATGTCCCCTTTCAAGTCTTAGCTCATCTTTTTTTTTTTATCCCATTTCCTACAATTCAAAATTTTTTGCAATGATATTCCGAATTAGGAAAGCAGGCGCTCTACAGTGACTTGGGAACATTCTATAACCATTAGTTCGAGACGTTACGATCAATGGATGACTGATAAAAAGTTTCATAAAGGAAATATTTACCTTGCAGGTAGCGATCTAGCTCAGTTAGTTTGTTGCGGACCGTATCCTCAGGAAGATGAACCTGGCTCTGAAATGCCTCAGCAGCACAGACGAAAAGCAAAGTCACAAGGATATACTTCATCTTCCCTCACTGTCCTTCACTTAGAAATGATTTGCACGGGATGGCTGACCTGGTAGACAACTGAGATTAATGATATCGTGTCGGGTTGTTGTGTGGGAGTCATCCATTCATCACAAAGCGTTGCATCGATGTTCAATTTCTCCCAACGCTGTTTCTATATTTAGTCAAGTGGTAAGCTGGACAGGATTCTGAATGATGAACACTTAAATTCTCTCGACTACCTTCCATGTTATTGCTCTGTATTGGGAGAATTTTGATCTTGAACTTGTGGTCAAACAATAGACATGTTGATCTCTAACCATTGTTTTTATTAATATAGGCATTGTATTAAATCCTTTAAATCATTTGTAAATGATCCCCGAGGGAATACAAATGAAATACATTGCGGAAAATGCTAAAATTACCCGATTCAAGTTGAAAGGAAATTTTGCAAATTCATGAAACGGACATGATAATTTAACTTTTTTAATTGGGTACTGATTTGAAATATCTTCGGTAGGTACACTTAAGACCTTCACAGCTGTAAATAGGTATTCGCTTCACTTGCCATAGAGTTTAAAACCTCCCTCATAATTTTGTATATTTACACCAATAAGCGAATTAAATATTTTAAGCATTGATACAAAATGATGACAACGCGGAAAACTGAACTAATTGCTTCCAATCAATTTAATTGAAAATGGTCAAATGAATTGTTGCCTTTTTTTTTTAGTAAAAACAAAATCTTTATTTGAGATGTCACTAAGATGTCTGCGTGAATCATCGGTTATTCACAATATTTATAATATTTACTGACATTTATGAAAGTGTGTTTGAATTAAGAAACAAAATGTTAAAGATTAATTCAGGTACTGATCATCAGATCAGGGGGCTGAGCTGCATGTGAAAATGCCATGGAATATAACTTGCGAAGAAAACTCAAACTTGCGACTCCAGTTACATTTCATTTGGTTCCTAAATTTTTATTTTAATAAGACCTTGTCTGTAAATATAAGTCATTGTATTTTTATCCTCTTTGACCCAGGGTTCACGAATCATTCATAGAACAGAATGAATGACATTCTCAACTAATGAACAAGACGCATCAAAAGACAGAAATGGAAAACAGAGCTCTATCGACAGATTTCTGCTTGCGGAAAATGTTATCGTGTAGTTAGCCCTTAATTAATTGACCGTGATGCCATCAATCGCTATCAATATGTGCCGGAAATAAGAGATAGAGAGGTGATCTTTACCGCTGGTGTTCTGCCTCTTATCGGTCTAACTGAACTATTTAACAGTCCAAGCCATCGCTTTAAGTAATTAAAGCTATTGACACAGCTATCCTTGCTAGTTATGCGTGACTTTATCACGCTTTAATGCTGGGACTCGGGCGCACAAGCTATCTGGCTGACATCCACAACATGAAAAAAAAAAAAAAAAAGAAAAAGAAAAAAGAAAAAAGGAGAGGGGAAGGGGTAAGGAGGAGGAGGGGGAGTTGGGCCGTTTGAATTTCTTCGTAGTTTATGCTGCGTTCAGTCTTAGATTTTGAGGGTTTACGTGTATCAAATACTCTGCTACGGACCAAGTTATCATTTAAAATAATTTTTCTTATATTCATTTTTTTCTTATTTACTTTTGGGGTGTTACTAGTCGACTTCAATACTATTTACTCAGTTTTGTTGCTCGTTTTTTTGGTTACTGAGTCAATATCAGTTTATTATCAGTTACCATGGTTTGAAATGAAAAAAAGGTACTATATCTTCGTGAAGTTCACAGTTATTTCATTCACGACAGTAAACACACAGTCAATAGTTTCTCCCTCGGATTTTATTTGCTTCAAAGAGAAAATTATAACACAAGAGAACTTAGATATCAAAAATACTATGGGAGTAGCACAATACGGTAAGGCGCAACCAGTTTGTTGAATAAAAACGCTACGACAAATTAAAGAACTTTGTAAGTGAGATTTTTTTTGCTAAAGTTATTCCATGTCCCAAAGAGGAAATGACCATAGCCTTTTAAATGAAACAAATGAATCTACATTTTTTTCTTTGGTTATTGTTTTCGATGCAAACTGACTGTTGCATATCCAGAGGGTAAAAAAAGTAAATGTGGCTCTCCATACCAGCCCTACAAGAGAGAAAAAGCAACATTTTATTATCTATCAAAAATTTTTACACGAGGTTACTTCACATGGGCCGACCGTTTCGAAACGGGCCTTGTTTGTTAGGAGTTAAAACCAAAGACTTTCAGCTTTGCCAGCGAATCTCACCTTTATTTCGTTATCTATCATAGCTTGATCACTAAAGTACGGTAAATACAATTTCCTTCCAGATTACTTCGAGAACGGTTACAGTTTTCATGAACATAGCAAGATTTAAAATTCCTTTACTTACACTTCGTTACGGAGGAGCTTAGGAAGATTAGGTAGATGCTTGTGGAGGAGCCGCTTCCTTCAAATATTTCTCGATAACTGTACCGATTATGATGGCCCCTCTCATGTTATCTACTACGAACTGACCCACAGTAAGAAAGGCCTTGTCCACCTGACCTTCTTCCATAAACTTTTTAACTTTTGCTTTCATTCCTTTGAAAAAAGAACACGTTTCCTTTTAGCATATTAGTTATTATTGTTTTAGTTATTAGTTATTAACACGTTACTTCTCCCTATAATATCAATAATGCATCTAGCAAACAGAAAATGAGAATACTCAAACTTATGAGGTAGAATTTGTTGTCTTGATCTAACATTAAACATTTTGTAATTGATTTATTAGGAAATGTGTAGCAGCTGTAGAGGGGAGAATCAACAATTACATCTTGAGAGTTAAAGGGTTTTAGTGAACCTTGGATTTTGTACGGGCACTTTTGTAAATCTAATTGAAGAAAGACGCAAGACACTCTGAATACAGTTAAACTACACTTGAACTCATCCAAATGAGTTTTCTGCTCGTGATGCCTTTTTTTCTGGGAATTTGTGAGATTTTTCTGTGGTCGCTTTATTTGGGATTGTAATTATGGTTCCAGGAAAGACGTTGTCAATAAATGAAAGAGAATACGGAAGTGTTTGAAGATTGCCTTGTTGTTCAGTATTCGGATTTAAAAGCTTCCTTCTCCACCAGTTTTTTTCTGCTATTTTGTAACATCATTATTATTGCTGTTTATTCTCTGTTCTTAAAAAATTCTTCTGGAGACAACTGAGTACCAGAAAGTTACAAACCATAAATCGCTATGTCCAGCTGGACTCTCGTAAATACAAGAGATTTGTAACTTCAGAAGGCTTTCAAAGCTTATAAAAGAAGAGGCGCATATTCGAGGGAACACGTTAGCAGGTATCTTGTTTGGGGTACATGTAGATGGGTCCACAACTGGAAAAGAGGAAAGTGTGTGTAAGGGT